TTGGACTGTCCATAAATCTTTCAAAATTTGTGGGGATTATTGGAATTTGTTTTTCTGTCTTGGAAAAATCATGGAGAATTTTTTGGTTGCCTGTTTCTATTTTTTCGACTATTTTTAGAATGGCAATATTTGTGGTTGGGCCGTGAACTTTTTTTATACCATCCACCAATTTTTCAAAACTTGGAGGAATTATTGGAATTTGTTTTTCCGTCTTAGAAAAATCGGAAAGAATTTTTTGGGTGACCTGTTTTAATTTTCCACTATTTTTAGAACGAGCTCGTTGACAATATTTGTGGTTGGGCCGTGAAGTTTTGTTGCACCGTTCACCGATTCCTCGAAGCATGCGGGGTTCGCTGGTAAACACAGTGCTCCCTCAGAAGGTAAACAAACCTCTGGGCTCTAAGCTGAACGCAGAGAAGAACGGCTAGCGAAAGAGGGAGGGGGGCTGTGGGTCGAGGCAGCCGGGACAGTTTAAAAGGCTGCATATCCGATTGCAGTGTCAACGCGAACAGAGAACTTTCTTATCTTTGCTTCTTTTTTCACAGAACCTTCGCCAACGCATTTCTCCGATTTTTCTGATTAAAATGAGTCTAAACACGGCGCGATTCGGATCGTATTTGCTCATTTTAAAACGTCTTGCTTTCAGCGATCACTTTGGAAATAGTAGATTCGGTGTTTACAGTGTTCACTTAGAGAACAGTGGGAACGAGATTCGATCTGTGTCTTTAGACCAGTCTGGTCGTCCATCTGGTCCTATTCTGTTTACATTGGTCACTTATGGAACAGTTCAAGCGAATTTGTCGCAACGACACTAAAGAAAAATCTTGAAGAATCTGTTGAAAATAATTGACAAATTATAAATAATCCCAAGTATATTCAATTATTACAGTGTCGTCAAATAATTTCTCAACTGGACAATTCCTAGAACCATAAATTTTATGCATTTATGGGAAGTGGTAAACAAATTAGAAGAAACTGAAAATGTTGATACGATAATTACGACTTATTAAAATTATTTAACACAGAAACAATATTGCACCTGGCTCCTACGCCTTGCCAATTGATACATACAATTTTTATTTTGCATAAAGATCCATGGTAGCTTCGTGAATAAATAAATAAAAAAATAAAAAAAATAAAGTAAATAAAAGTAAATAAAAGAAATAAAAATCATAACAAAGCTTTCATCAACGAGCCTTTCATTTTGCAAACAAAAAATCGTCGACAAAGCCATTAACAACAATGAATACCGCGATTCATTCGTAAATCGTTTTTCTAGCAACAAATCAATCCAGCAGATTCATTATTCATTTCGCCATTTACGCGATTTCTGCAGCGACCTCACAAATCTCTCGCTAATTGGAATCCCCGCGATTCGAAGGTCCCGCTGTCTGACGTGGATCGCTTAATTGCGGATCAATCGACCTGATAATTTTGTTCATTGATCGCAGCAGGTCCTAGCGGCGTTTCCCACGATCTTGTAACAGTTTTGATCGAAAACGGTCGCGAAACCGTGAGAGACACGCGGATGCACCTGTCGCGGTTGAAGTCCCCCTACGATCACGTTCCTCGCGAAGAATGCGTCCCCTGTTTGCTCGCGCGCGGGTCTAATTCGACCGAAGGTCGCTCCGCCCGGCCTTCCCCAATCGTCGCAGCAACGAAACCCGGCGGCGTCGACGGCCGTCGAATCGCGCGGCAGGATCCGCCGCGGAGAGATGATTCACACTGGCAGCGGCGACTACGAAACACACGTACGGTTCGCGCGCTAGGCGCTGCAAATGGCTCGAGTGTACCAAGGATACCCGCGTGCGCGGATTCAGCCACGCTCTCTCGAGGACCGAAGCATTCAGGTTTCCGAGTCATGGGAGCCTAGGAAGTTTTGAAACTCTCTCTCTCTCTCTCTCTCTTCGCAGGCTCTCTGGAAATTCTCTCTATGGAAAGCAGCGACTTCTGGGCTGAATCTCGATTCTTTGTGTTCTTCCTGTGGGTTGTATTCTTCCACATTATCATCCCCTTTATGCGCAGAATATCATATTCAATTTTATCACCCTTTTTGAAATTAATTTCAGTGAGAAAAAGTTAAAGAAATTTCTATTTAAATTTCTATTAATGATTCATTAGAATGAAAAATTTCTATTTAAATTTCTATTATAAATTCATTACGATTAAAAATTTCTGTTCAAATTTCTGTTCAAATTTCTATTCAAATTTCTATTAGAAATCCATTATGATTTAAACTTTCTGTTTAAGTTTTTGATACGAATTTATTGCCATTGAAAATTTCTATTCAAATTTCTATAAAAATTTCAATACAATACGAAATTTCAATTCAAATTTCTATTTAAATTTTTATACAAAATTCATTACAATTGAAAATTTATGATAAAGATCTGCCATTCAAAAACAACCAATATAAATTCTTATAAAAAAACCCACGAGAGAGAGAGAGAGAGAGAAAGAGAGAGAGAGAGAGAGAGACGACTCAAACGTAGCAAAATAATATTTTGTGAAATAATATGTAAAAAATATCCCGGATTCTTCAAGAGGCTTGCCAAAATCGCCGAGACGTTACGAGAAAGTACGATTGCCGATCGACGAATTCTTTTTCTGATCGTCCGATGAAGCATCCTTGGAGAGTTTCGCGTGTCATTTACTGCGATCGACGAGCGTTCGACAGGTGTGATGAATGTTCCGGATGCAAACGTAACCCGAGTGGAAAAAAAATAAAAAAAATAAAGCAAAATAGAAAAGAAACCCTATGAAATCACGTATCGAAATTATTGCATTAATTTTCGGTACAATTTACAATTTTTAATTTACAATACAATACAATTTTTAATTTACAATACAATACAATTTTTAATTTACAATACGATACAATTTTTAATTTACAATACAATACAATACAATTTTTAATTTACGTGAATTGCGTGAGAAACAAGATTCGATTAGGGGAATAGAAGACGCGAATTTTTTTATCGCGAGATTCATTGACAATTTGTCCAATTTGTCAAACTCGTGCAACTCATACTGAAAAACTCGAACACTTAACTTCGATGTGTCGGACTATCGGCCGAGGTTCGTTAACAATGAAGTCGGTCGGCTCTTAGTCGCGATAATGGACGTATAGTGATTAATAGCTTGGCGCGAAAGAAAATCGTTTAATCAAATCCGAGCAGAATTGGCTTGCCGTCGCTCGCTAAGAGACTGAAAATATTTTTTGCGATACGGGGACTGTTACATCGATCATCGATAATTGCGACTACCTGAGTGCCTGATCGTAGATTGAATTATTACTGAAAATTTAATTAATAGGGATACGTACAATTTTATTAATAATATATTTTATTGTAACTGCAATTTTTGTTAATAATATCTTCGATTTTAAGGGCAAATTCAATTAATAATATATTTTATTGTGACTGCAAATTTAGTTAATAATATCCTCGATTTTAAAGGTAAATTTAATTAATAATATCCCCAATAATTTAACTGTCTAATATCCTCAATTACAATCTCCACTTCGATCTGAAATTTAATTAATAATATATTTTACTTTCAACTGGAAATTTACTTATTAATATCCTCGATTTTAAAGGCAAATTTAATTAATAATATCCCCAATAATTTAACTGTCTAATATCCTCAATTACAATCTCCACTTCGATCTGAAATTTAATTAATAATATATTTTACTTTCAACTGGAAATTTACTTATTAATATCCTCGATTTTAAAGGCAAATTTAATTAATAATATCCCCAATAATTTAACTGTCTAATATTTTCAATTACAATTTCCACTTCGATCTGAAATTTAATTAATAATATATTTTACTTTCAACTGGAAATTTACTTATTAATATCCTCGATTTTAAAGGCAAATTTAATTAATAATATCCCCAATAATTTAACTGTCTAATATTTTCAATTACAATTTCCACTTCGATCTGAAATTTAATTAATAATATATTTTACTTTCAACTGGAAATTTACTTATTAATATCCTCGATTTTAAAGGCAAATTTAATTAATAATATCCCCAATAATTTAACTGTCTAATATTTTCAATTACAATTTCCACTTCGATCTGAAATTTAATTAATAATATATTTTACTTTCAACTGGAAATTNATACAATTTCAACTTCAATCTATAACATTCTCAATTATAACTATAAATATAATAAATAATATTCTCAATAATAGCTGTAAATATAATCAATAATATTCTGATAATTCATAATATTTTCTATCATTAATTATTAATTCTCTATATAATTAATAACATTCTCAATTATAAATATAAATTATAAATATAATTAATAATATTCCCAATCACAGCAATAAATCTAATCAACAATACTCTCAATTACAACTATAAACAACAGCATCTCCAACAAAAATTCCCCATCAAGTGCAATTGTCATTCTTAAACAAAAAAATCTCAATTTCCCATAAATCTCTCATAACGCCTCGAACAATTCCCCTCACATATCGCGCGATTAACAGCTCCAACAAATCAACGCCGCCGATATTCACAAAAATCGTCCAACCGTTTCCACCTTCGCTCAACAGATCGTCCAACTCGCAATTTCGAACTTATTCCATCGACGCGTCGTCCGAGTCCGCGCGTACCACGCTCGCCGGTCGTCGGCGCGCGTGTGTCTCTAGCTCGGGTGACGCGTTCTGATCGGGTCGCGCGCGATAGGATCGGCTCCCGCGCGGAAGGGTCCTCGCGGACGCGAGCAAGGATCACGGCGCGCCGTATTCGGCGGCGGCGCTCGGGCCGCGTCGTGTAGGTGAACGAAGCTTTCGCCCGGGTGGGGCGCAGGGGGAGCGACCGAGAGCGGCGGAGGGGGGAGGGGGCCACCGGCACGCAAGAATTATCCCTGAAGAAGTCGAAACGGCGGCGAAGAATGGGGAAAAGAGAGGACACCGAGGAGGATGGGCACCGAGTTGGTCTCGTTGCCGATCCCCCACCCTGTATATAAGCGATCCTCTGCCGGCTGCGTCTTCAGTCTTACGGTTCGGACGGCGCACTCTGCGTGTAGAAAACCTGAGGAGATTATTATTCGTCGTCGTATCGTTTATAAAAAAAGTCCCGCCGGAACGCAGACAGTCGCCGACGTCGACGACGATGCCATCCTCTTGCTGACGGGACCAGCGAACGCGCGCCAGGATGATCGGCCGTCACGTCCGCGCCGCTTTCTTCAGCCTGGTACGTGCAACATACGTTATACTGACCCAACGATTATCGAGTGATACGCTGACGGGTCACTTACGGAGACCTGTGATAGGATACTCGGGGATTGGGGGTGTGTGCGCGCGCGCGCGCCAACCGTCCCGAGCGAAGGCCGGTCGGTTTTATACTTGAGAAACTGCTTGTCGGGATTTCGGCCGATTTCTTCGGGTTCGACGATCTGAAACGAAACGAAATGTTGGGAGGGCTCGATTCAATTTATTTCTTCAATTTATTTATTTATTTATTTATTTATTCATTTATTTACTTATTTTCTTAATTATTTATTTATTCATTCATTCATTTACTTTTTTATTCATTTATGTATTCACTTTTCTATTTATTTATTTATTTAATCATTTATTTATTTATTTATTTACTTACTTATTTATTAATTTATTTATCTATTTATTTACTAATTTATTTACTTATTTATTTACTTATCTTATTTATCCATACGTTTATTTATTTATTTATTAAAGTCCGAAGGAAAACATTGTGGTCAGTCGTATCGTTTAGTATGTCCAAGATAAATGATTTTAATTATATGGGAATTATAAATAAATATATAAATGAAATTCTCTCTAAACGATGAAATTCTTACCGAGCAGGCTCAGTTATAATTCTGCCAGGAAAGACCCTGTGCCCGAAAAATCCCGGAACACGTTTATTGGGATTCCCAATTCGCAGCTACCGTATTCGTGAACAGTGACATAAATGTATATAATATGTTCGGCAAACAAACGTCTATTATTTTCCATTTGCAAAGTCAATTGGCAGAATCACTCCGCGCATCGATGAAAATGGAAACAGTGTTCGTTGCGTAGTCTATTTGTGGTAGTTTACTTGTGGTAGTCTATTTGTAGTAGTCTACTTGTAGTAGCCTAGTTATAGTAGTCTAATTGTCGTAGTCTACTTGTAGTAGTCTAATTGTAGTAGTCTAATTGTAGTAGACTACTTGTAATAATATACTTCTAGTCTAATTGTGGTCTACTTGTAGTCTACTTGTAGTCTATTTGTAATAGTCTCATTGTAGTCTACTCATAGTAGTCTACTTGTAATAATGTACTTCTAGTCTAATTGTGGTCTACTTGTAGTCTACTTGTAGTCTATTTGTAATAGTCTCATTGTAGTCTACTCATAGTAGTCTACTTGTAATAATGTACTTCTAGTCTAATTGTGGTCTACTTGTAGTCTACTTGTAGTCTATTTGTAATAGTCTCATTGTAGTCTACTCATAGTAGTCTACTTGTAATAGTCTACTTATAGTAGTCTACTTGTAATAGTCTACTTATAGCAGTCTACTTTTAGTAGTCTACTTGTAACAATCTACTTTTAGTAGTCTATTTTTAATAGCCTACTTTTAGTAGTTTAAGTTTAGTAGTGTACTTTTAATAGTCTACTTTTACTAGTCTACTCTTAGTAGTCTACTTTTAATAGTCTACTTTTAGTAGTCTACTTCTAGTAGTCTACTTTTCGTAGTCTATTTCTAGTTTATTTATTTCTAGTCTATTTACTTATAATAGTCTACTTCTAGTTTACTTCCAGTCTACTTCTATTCAACTTTCACCCCACTAACAACTAAAAACCCCCGACTAAAAACAATAATTATTATCCAACGTTTTCCTTTCGTATATTCAACGCAACACTTACGGTCCAATATCAGTCTCGCGAAAAATTCCCAAAAAGAACATCGACAAACAAAGTATCGCCATAACAAGCCCCGGTATCTCGCGAGCCGATAAGAGTGGAATAACACCGAGGACGAACTGTCCAGTAACCGGTGACGTAAATATAGCGAGGATAGGCGTTCGCACCTGGCCCGTTCTCCCCGGCACGAAAGCGGGATATTCGCAGCAAGCCGCGACGGAATACCGAGGTTGTTGCGAAATAGAGGCACACGTCGATTGGACTGCAAATAGAAAATCGCAACAATCGGAACGAGTGTCATCGACACGCTCCGCGATAGTATCCGCGTCTCCGTTTCGACATCGCCGGTTCCCAGCGTGCACTGTGCGCACGCTCGGATAAGAGAGCATCAAGTTTTCATTTACGGTAAAATGTGTTTTCTGCGATTGAACCACGTGGGTCGCCGGCTGACGCCCGATACACATATATGTGCTATATCGTACGAGACGATCCATGACGAAAGGTCAGATCCTCTCGAGCTGCGATTCAGCCAGGCTTCGGCGGACGCGATAAAAAGTTTCGTGGGAGATTAATGGCGATTCGGGCGCGCTTGGATTTACTGTGAATGAGCGATCGTCGTGCCGGGAAGTTTTTAACGGTGTTATTAAACGTCTGATAACATCTAATGTTAAATCGTTACGTTCTAATGAAGCGAGACAGGCCTTGGATAAATGTTCGTTCGCGTACACTTTCGTGCGAAATTAACCATGACTTACTATCGGGAGAAAAATTAATAGTTGGCTACATTGTTTTTTTTTAAATTATTATTTTATCATTCTTAGAAACTTTGTAATTTATTATTCTATCGTTTCTGTAATTTCCATAATATATTGCTCTATAATTTTTATAATATATTATTCTATATTTTCTATAACTTTTGCAATGTATTATTCTATATTTTCTATAATTTTTATTATCCTATGATTTCTATATTATATTATTCTATATTTTCTAGAATTTTTATTATCCTATAATTCCTATAATTTCTATAATATATTGCTCTATAACTTCTATAATATATTAGTCTATATATTCTATAATTTTTACAATATATTATTCTATATTTTCTATAATTTTTACTATTCTATGATTTCTATATTATATTATTCTATATTTTCTAGAATTTTTATTATCCTATAATTCCTATAATTTCTATAATATATTGCTCTATAACTTCTATAATATATTAGTCTATATATTCTATAATTTTTACAATATNCTATAATTTATTATTCTATAATTTCAATATTCTATAATAACTCTATAATTCTATAATATCTATAATAATTTCTATAATTTCTATTATTCTATATTTTCTATAATTTTTACAATCTATTATTCTATACTTTCTATAACTTATTATTCTATAATTTTTATAAATTCTATACTTTCTATAATTTATTATTCTATAATTTTTATAAATTCTATAATATCTATAATATCTGTAATTTTTCTATAATTTCTATATCTATAATATCTATAATTTCTATAATTTCTATATCTATAATATCTATAATTTCTATAATTTCTATATCTATAATATCTATAATTTTTAGTATACTTATAATTTCTATAAATTTCTATAATATCTATAATCGCTATAATTTCTATAAATTCTATAATATCTATAATCTCTCTCTCTATAACTCTCTCTCCTATATAATACCTATAGCCACTGCAACAAGTGCATAAAATCCTTCGGTCCAATAACCCCACTATAGCGACACTCAACAAGTACATTAATAGCGATTTTATTTCGATGCTCTCGGCGCGTTTCGTCAATATTCGTTAAAATATGCGAAATCCGAGCATACGAGGAATTCCACGCGGCGCGACTGAAACGCGTCTCGAATGTCGAACGCGTGTACGACGGGGGGGGGGGAGAACCGCGCGGCCGATGATTACGCTGACATAATATTATAGCGCGGCGGGGCCGCGTGTATCGCGCTCGACGGATACCCACGTCCGTCTCCGTGTTTACGCGAGTGTGTTCCATTGATCTTGGCACTCGCGAACAGAATGTCGTTGCACTACATTTCATTCATAACTTCTCAATGCCGGCGCGGCCCGCGCAACGCAACGCTATTATGTTCGGCGGTCGGAATCGTTGGATCGTGACTCGTTTTATCGGACCGTGAATTGGCAGCCTCGATACACGATCCTGGCGCGCGATCATTGTTCTACAAATCGTAAATCATGCCATTCAAATCGGCGTCGTTGAACGTCTCCATAACCATTCTGGAATATCGATTTTCCTCGAACGCTTTGAAATATATCGTTGAAATCGTATTCGTAATTATTTCGTCAATCTGAAGAATTCGGACGACAAATTTTTTAATCTGGATTTTCTAACCTAGATTTTTTAAACTGTGTTTTCTAACCTATACTTTTTAATCTGTATTTTTTGTACTGTATTTTCGAACCTGTATTTTCTAACCTATATTTCTGAACTTGTATTTTCTAACCTCTATTTTCTAACCCATATTTTCCAACCCTTATTTTCTAACCTATACTTTCTAACCTGCATTTTCTGACCTATATCTTCTAACCTATATTTCTGAACTTGTATTTTCTAACCTCTATTTCTTAACCTGTACTTTCTAAACTGTATTTTCTAACCTATATTTCTGACCCATATTTTCCAACCCTTATTTTCTAACCTATACTTTCTAACCTGTATTTGTTAACCTGTACTTTTTAAACTGTTTTTTCTAACCTATACATTCGAACCTGTATTTTCTAACCTATACTTTCGAACCTGTATTTTCTAACCTATATTTCTGGACCTGTATTTTCTAACCTCTACTTTTTAACCTGTACTTTTCAAACTGTATTTTCTAACCTATACTTTCGAACCTGAATTTTTAACCTACACTTTCGAACCTGTATTTTCTAACCTATATTTTCGTACCTGCATTTCTTAACCTAAATTCTCCAATAAATTGTAAAAAAATGAATAAATCGATTCTCACGAATATCGAAGCTAGAAACCTCGGACCACCGTTATTAATTGCAGAACGGAGCTAATGTTTCCGTTGCGTCTCGTACCGAAAAACAGTGCCGCCACAGCGTCGTCCCTGAGACGGCGGTCACACTCGTTATGAAACCGTCGGTGCAGGCAGAATTCAGGCCGAGAAAAAGAAAGGGCTTGTGAAATAATAGTCAGTCAATGGTTAGCACAAGATATCTGCACATCTGTCGGAGCATTTCCATTACGTATATAGCCGTTTCTATCGAAAGTCTGGCAATGATTGACGACTACCGGTTGAACTATAGGTGCCCGGCCGTTA